TCGCTAATGATCAGGGAAACAGGACGACGCCGTCTTACGTCGCTTTCACCGACTCCGAGAGGTTGATTGGTGATGCCGCCAAGAACCAAGTCGCCATGAATCCAATCAACACCGTCTTCGGTATGTAGTTAATCTTTAATCTCTGTTTCTTGATTGGTATTTGAATCGTGTTGGGTTTTATAGATCGATCTGAGTTGAATCCGAAAGTTTTAGTCTTTAGGATTTATAAGAAGATCTTAGAAAGTTGTGGTTTTTAGTTGAATCCGAAAGTTATCGTCTTTAGTTTTTACAGGAAGAATCTCTGTTACTCGATTTTTATTGTAAGATCTTAGCTTTATACGAAAGTTCTCGTCTTTTCGATTTTATAGTAAGATCTTAGCTGATACGAAAGTTCTTGTCTTTAGGGTTTATAGGAAGAATCTTAGTAGAATACGAAAGTTATCGTCTTTAGGGTTTAATAGGACGATCTTAGCTGATTATGCAAGTTGTGATTATTTGGGTTTATAGGAATATATTAGCTGAATACGAAAGTTTGCGTCTTTAGGGTTTATATGAAGATCTTAGCTGAATACCAAGTTGTGATTATTAGGGTTTATAGGATGATCTTAGCTCTTGATTTAGGTTTTATGTACTTGGCTGTGGTTTTGATTTACCTTCGAATGATTACTTAAACTCTGTTCTGCGTATTTGATTTATTATATTTACCTTCGAATGATTAATTAAACTCTGTTCTGCGTATTTGATTTATTATATTTACCTTCGAATGATTAATTAAACTTTGTTTTGTGTCTTTTGATTATTACAGATGCAAAGAGATTGATTGGTAGGAGATTCAGTGACGCATCAGTCCAAAGCGACATGAAGCTATGGCCATTCAAGATCACCCCTGGTCCAGCCGAGAAGCCCATGATTGTTGTCTCCTACAAGGGAGAGGAGAAGCAGTTTGCTGCTGAGGAGATCTCTTCCATGGTTCTCATCAAGATGCGTGAGATCGCTGAAGCTTACCTTGGTGTCACTATCAAGAACGCTGTGGTTACTGTTCCTGCTTACTTCAATGACTCTCAGCGTCAAGCTACTAAAGATGCTGGAGTGATTGCTGGTTTGAATGTGCTGCGTATCATCAACGAGCCTACTGCTGCAGCTATTGCTTATGGTCTTGACAAGAAGGCGACAAGCGTTGGAGAGAAGAATGTTTTGATCTTTGATCTTGGTGGTGGGACTTTTGATGTTTCTCTTTTGACGATTGAGGAGGGTATCTTTGAGGTCAAGGCTACTGCTGGAGACACTCATCTTGGTGGTGAGGACTTTGACAACAGGATGGTTAACCATTTTGTTCAGGAGTTTAAGAGGAAGAGCAAGAAAGATATCACCGGTAACCCTAGAGCTTTGAGGAGGTTGAGGACGGCTTGTGAGAGAGCAAAGAGGACTCTTTCTTCCACTGCCCAAACCACCATCGAGATTGACTCTCTCTATGAGGGAGTTGATTTCTACTCTGCGCTCACACGTGCTAGGTTCGAGGAGCTCAACATGGATCTTTTCAGGAAGTGTATGGAGCCTGTTGAGAAGTGTCTACGTGATGCTAAGATGGACAAGAGCACAGTCCATGATGTTGTCCTTGTCGGTGGTTCTACACGTATCCCTAAAGTTCAGCAGCTTCTCCAAGATTTCTTTAATGGTAAAGAGCTCTGCAAGTCCATTAACCCAGACGAGGCTGTGGCTTATGGTGCTGCTGTTCAGGGTGCTATTCTTAGCGGTGAAGGCAATGAGAAGGTGCAAGACCTTCTTCTTTTGGATGTTACTCCTCTTTCTCTCGGTCTTGAGACTGCCGGTGGAGTCATGACCACCTTGATCCAGAGGAACACAACTATTCCCACCAAGAAGGAGCAGGTCTTCTCCACTTACTCTGACAACCAGCCTGGTGTGTTGATCCAAGTCTATGAAGGTGAGAGAGCTAGGACCAAGGACAACAACCTCCTCGGAAAGTTTGAGCTCTCTGGCATCCCTCCTGCTCCACGTGGTGTCCCTCAGATTACAGTCTGTTTCGACATTGATGCCAATGGTATCCTCAATGTCTCTGCCGAGGACAAGACCACCGGCCAGAAGAACAAGATCACCATCACAAACGACAAGGGTCGCTTGTCCAAGGACGAGATTGAGAAGATGGTTCAAGAGGCTGAGAAGTACAAGTCTGAGGATGAGGAGCACAAGAAGAAGGTTGAGGCCAAGAATGCTCTCGAAAACTATGCTTACAACATGAGGAACACCATCCGTGATGACAAGATCGGTGAGAAGCTTCCTGCTGCAGACAAGAAGAAGATTGAAGACTCGGTTGAGGAAGCTATCCAATGGCTTGATGGTAACCAGACTGCTGAAGCTGATGAGTTTGAAGACAAGATGAAAGAGTTGGAGAGTGTTTGCAACCCAATCATTGCCAAGATGTACCAAGGAGCTGGTGGTGAGGCTGGTGGCCCCGGTGGAATGGATGATGATGAAGCTCCTCCTTCTACAGGAGGCCCTGGCCCCAAGATCGAGGAAGTCGACTAATTTAGTTCTGTTTGAATGATTTTGGCTTAAGACCAGAATTTCAGTTTCTGTTTTATGTTTTGCTCTGTTATGAGCGATACTCTCTATTTCCTGTTGAACCTTTTGCTTTATTTCAATTAAGATGCAGTTTTGAACTTCAGATTAATTGGTATCTTTTTTATTGTGTTGTTTCAGTTTGCAGGTTTGAATTTCAGTTTCTTTTTTTGTTTCCGATTAAGATGCAGGTTTGAACTTCAATGTAGTTTCACACATCTCTTCTCTGCATTTATGTCTTCAGAATCTCCATTGGGTTCTAATTGCATCGCTCTGAGAAAATAAACTAGTAACTCTTCAGCTGATTATTGCTTGATCTGTTTGTGTGTATGTGTCAGCTCCTTTCTTCCCAAATATCAAATTGAAAAGTCGAAACAAATAGTTGGTTTATTATGCTGATGGTTTGGTTGGATGTTAAGCTAGAAAACTAGCTTGTTCTGTTTGTGTGTGTATGTGTCAGCTCCTTTGCCTTGATGGCTTAATATCATTCAGCGTTTTAAAAAAAAACACAATTTTTTTCATAGAAGTAAAACGGACATTTTAGAAGTACATAAAGATTTAATACACTTCTAAATGCAACAAAACATATATATTCCACTCTTACAAATATAAGATTAAATGGAAAGTTACATTTTAATAGTTTTACTATCAGGCAGTGACATATCTAAAAAGTTTTTTTACTGGATGCAAAAAATAATATATCTAAAAAGTTTTTTTACTGGATGCAAAAAATATTAAATATTAAGCTTTTCTAAAAATATTAAATATTAATTCAAATATTTAATTAAACATTTTAAATAATTAAATATATTGATTTTGTACATCAAAGAAAATTTATCTACTTTTTTATCAAAGATATATACTACTAATATTTTTGTGTCTTTGGTGAAGACATTAATACAGATGGACTTGACCAAAATTCTGCTTATAATCAAATCTGCAATACAAAATAAACTTTAATTTTACCAAAATAAAAAAAAAAACAATGGGTGCAAATCATTTTCTAACTTGGGTGCATTAGATTGAGCTTTATCGAAATTACATTGATTATTAAATTATGAGTGGGTGCAAGTGAACCCTCCCTGCATAACTGAGAACCGTCCCTGCTATCAGGCGAAGAAAAAAAAAATACTACCGGCCAAGTTTTGATTCTAGCTCTATTGGTGGCTAAAGTCACTAAGATGTTTTCAACTTTTCCCCATGAGAGATACCGAATATCACCATGTTTTCTAAATTATCGATTCATTTATATATTCCCAAGAAATATGTTTGAGATATATTTTTCCATGAAACTTTGAAACAATATAAATTTATTTCGAACCTTGCTTCCCATAAAGTTGGATTGATCGGTTAACTTGATAAAACCACCCGTAGACCAATAAATGATCCGATTAAGATCCGAAAATTTGAATCAAACTAGTAATTAAAAACATTTATTGGAGTTAAAGTAAGTGTGTGTAGTGTTTTTTTTTTTGATTATATGTCCATATTATTCAAACATAAATTCAATCTTTATAGGAAAATTTCTTAGCAATCAATAACAATAGCAATAATTCATGATTCAACAACTGAAAACCTTCATTTTAAGCAGTGTAGTGTTATTTACGTGTTTATATTTATGAGATTGGGTAGGCACCTTCTCATTAATCTATTATAGTACAAACAAAATCTATTATAGTACAAACAAAATCAAACAATAATCACCATATTTTAACCCTAGTTAATTATTCTAGTACAAACAAAATCTATTATATCAAAAAAAAAAAATCTATTATATCATCTGTTTTACGAGGATTTTTGTTTGACTACACGACTTGAACCATCTTGTGAATATATACATCTGGCGTTTCTACTTACATTAGTTGAAGATTATATAAACATTTTCTTTAAAATTTACATAATTCATTTTCTTCAAAACTCAAAACATATATTTCTTCGTAAACATTAATAAACCATGTTCTGTTGTATCTAACTATAATAGTGTGCAAAAGAGATTTTAATTCTTGTTGTTGATTAATTTAAGTATGCTTTAATAGGAGTATCCATCCAAATGTTTCTTTTGTTAACTGTCCATACAAATGTTTCTTAAAAATAACAGACTCGATTCGTTTCCGTGACGTCTTTGATGACTCATGAATGATGCCATTTTCTCAAATATTATCAACATTGAGAAAAATGCAAGTCCAATATGCGATTTAAAACTTCGTGACGTTCAGGTGTTCTTTCTTTTAATAAGGAACTTTCGAAATAATAACGTGCGGAAAAAGAGATTAAAATTAATGTTGTTGATTAATTAACTAATAAGCTTTAATGGGAGTGTGCACCCTTTCTCGAACCTTCCCCCATCCCTTGCATGATTGCATTCTATAAAATACTACACTATCACTCACTTTCCTCTTCATCCAATTTTCTTTAAACAAACCATGGCTGCCTTCACCACCAAATACGCCGGTAAGCAATCTCCTCACCTCTCTCTTTCTTTCTCTAAGTAATGCATTTATCAATGTTCATGATTCGTTAAAGTTTATATCCTTCGTTTTCCTTTAAACAGTTTCTGATTTGCTGTTGATTCTTTCGTTCGTTCACTCTTTTCAGCATAGCGAGATTAAACATTGTAACAAATATCTAAACATATATATACGTATCTATGTTATTATTAGAATTGCACCGTAATTTAATTTCAGCATATTACTATTTCGACCTTCAGTTTCCAAAATTCTATAACTAATGTATAGACTTTTAGCTTCCAAATTAATAGAGCTGATAGCATAAGGAGACAAATCATATACTTCATTTGTATCATATTGTATGATGTTTCGGTTAACATAAAAGAAACGTATTTTTGAAGTTTTTTTTATTAATAATATAAATTTAAAGTGAGTTAACTTATCATAACCATAAATATCATTCAATCAAATTTTAGTAAAGTTAAAGTTATTTAAAATTATCAAAACTTTTATAAAATAAAGAGAATATGTCGTTACAGATTTAAATGACTAATATGTATATATTTAAGTTTTAAAATAATTTTAAATCATATGTATAATTCATCCATTTTTCAATCTGGAATTGTTCTAATTCTATAAATTCAACTTATAATTTGGATATAAATATTCTATGTTTATAGTTCTTAAAGTAAAATCATAAAAAGGAAATAAAATATATTAAGAGAGAGATTGAGATGAGTATCTCAAAAAAAATCTAAAAGAAAATTTATGAGAATGTTTGGATATTTGTTTTTATTTCATTGGTTGGTATATTTTTAAATTTTAATTTCTTAATTATACTACATCAAAAATATTGTTATTATATTGGTAGAAGACTCAAAATATTGTTATTATATTGGTAGAAGACTCCCTTACATACACCAAAAGCTTTGGACATAACCTAAAACTCTGTTTGGTTGGGTTCATATCAGCCAAGTACTCTAGTTACTTGTCGGATCTAAGTTTTTGAGTCTTGTTTTGATTGAGCTTTGTTATCTTATACTCCCTCTCTTAGTGGGTTTACATTTTTTTTTTGTTTTATAAGAATAATAGTTTTGTGTTTTCATTGTAACTCGCAGATGAGCTTATCGCTAACGCTGCCTACATTGGCACACCTGGAAAGGGTATCCTCGCAGCTGATGAAGCAACGGATACCATTGGAAAGCGTTTCTCTAGCGTCAACGTCGAAAACGTTGAGTCTAACAGACGTGCTCTACGTGAGCTTCTCTTCACTACTCCCGGTGCACTTCCTTGCCTCAGCGGTGTCATCCTCGTTGAAGAAACTCTCTACCAAAAGAGCTCTAATGGTATTTAATCCATGTCTTATCTCATTTTGTTTGCTTATAGTTAAGTTGGGGTTCCATCATTTCCAATTGGTGACAAGTATATTGATCTTAATCATTTATATATTTAGTGTTGGTTCTTTTAAACTTCTGATGTGGGATCTTAATACGCTCTTTCGAAATGATGACTCTTATCGGTCTATCTCGACCATATCCTACTTTGACACCGATAATAAACCCTTCTTGGTCCACCTTAGACTCTGATACCATGATAGATTGATTAGAGTACGGAATTGGAAGAAATATTATTGGCTGTCATGGAGAATAATATTACAAATAATAGACTTACAGTATATAGAGATGGATAAACTTAATTTACTAAACTAATATGGAATATTACATTATAGATAATGATAAGTTTTATATTTTAATATATGGATGTATATCCTATATAGTTGTATCTGAGTGATCATCAAGATCTCCCAACACTTCTTTTTTTCTGATTTGGATGGTGTGATTGTATATGTGCAGGGACGCCTTTTGTGGACATTTTGAAGGAAGGTGGAGTCTTGCCTGGTATTAAGGTTGACAAGGGCCGTGCAGGCCCGGCTCAAAGTTTTTTTGGGCCCATGGCAAATTTTTTTTTTTACATATACTATAGTATTTGAAAAATCTAAGCCCTTTTCTATATGTGTTTTTAATAAAAAATTGTGTCTTTTTCTTTTAGTATTTATATTTTTCTCTCAAAATTGGGCCCTTTTTCTTTAAAATTGGACATTTTTTCCTTAAAATTGGGCCCTTTTTCTTTACTTTTTATACAAAAATTTTTTTGGACCCATGGCCCATGCCCCTTTGGCCATGGGTCAGAGCCGGGCCTGGGGCCGTGCCGTTAAGCTAGCCGGAACCAACGGTGAGACCATCACACAAGGTCTTGATGGACTCGGTGAGCGTTGCAAGAAGTACTACGAGGCTGGTGCTCGTTTTGCTAAGTGGCATGCACTCCTTAAGATTGGCCCAAACGAGCCATCAGAGTTAGCCATCCACGAGAACGCTTATGGATTGGCTAGATACGCGGCCATTTGTCAGGAGAACGGTCTTGTACCAATTGTGGAGCCTGATATTAGTGTTGATGGGTCTCACGATATCCACAAGTGTGCAGCGGTGACAGAGCGTTTCCTTGCAGTTTGCTACAAAGCTCTAAGCGATCACCATGTCTTGCTCGAAGGAACGCTTCTGAAACCAAACATGGTGACTCCAGGTTCAGAGAGTGCTAAGGTTGCACCAGAGGTCATTGCGGAGTACACTGTCCGTGCCCTTCAGAGAACCGTGCCAGCAGCTGTTCCAGCCATACTGTTCTTGTCGGGAGGACAGAGTGAGGAAGAGGCGACAAGAAACCTGAATGCGATGAACCAGCTGAAGACAAAGAAGCCTTGGTCTCTCTCGTTTTGCTTTGGTAGGGCGTTGCAGCAGAGCGCGCTTAAGACTTGGGGAGGGAAAGAGGAGAATGTGAAGAAGGCGCAGGAGGCGTTTTTGGTTAGGTGTAAGGCTAACTCTGAGGCCACACTTGGTGCTTACAAAGGTGATGGTGCAGCAGAAAGCGTTGACGTTAAGGATTACTAGTACTGAAGGATGTGAGTCCAAGGATCCGTAAATTTTCATATCATCTTTTGTGTTTGTGTTTTTTTCCTAAAAATCCCCAATATATATCTTTTCAGTGTTATTTGTGTGTTATGTTTTGTTTTGAAGAGTGGCAAAATCAAAGACCCTTGATAAACTTTATTCTGAGGTGTGTTGTTTCTTGTGAAACATTTTATTAAATGAATATGTTGTTGGGATTTGAAAGCACTTCTTGAGTTTCATTCTTCTAATAAGTATTGTGTTTCTTTTTTTTTGGCAAAATATCATAGCTAGAGGTGGTTTCGTTAAAAGTTTACCAAGCTTGTGATTCAAAGAAATTTGATGGGCTTACAACTTTGGAGAACATAGTGCAATTACAACTTACAAGTAGTTTATGTCAAGGTTTGCTACTATAGGCCACTGTTTATGTCAACTTAAATAGAATCGGCTGTTTAAGAGGTACTGTATATAGCGCATATGAGAACTAAAATCAGAAGGAAGTTATTACAAGACAAACTGATTAAAGACATATATTGATTCTGTTAGAAAATCAGTAAGTTATTTTACCATTGTTCTGTCTAACAGGATTAGTATGTAATCATTCTCTATCTCATTAACAAAATAATAAGATTTGTTTTTTCATAGTTATTTTCTTCTCAAACCAACGAACCCTGAGCCTAACCTTTAGTTAATTTGTTGAAAACTATAGAAAGCGAATATTTTCCATGTAAGATATCGACAATAGCCAACTAGTGATACCATACGGTTCATAACCCATATGATTGCACTACTTTATATGAATCAGAATGGACTGTTTGGTAGTTAGGTAGCGTCGTTGACAAATGTAACTAATTAAAATGTATTATCCCAAACACGAAAACTTACTCGGAGCACTAGTTAAATAAGGCATATATAATAGCTTAAATTACAACATTATAGATGTTTGATTTACCATTCGTTAAATATAATCGAAATCTATTGGTGTTCAACCTCTCAACTCAGATGGAAAAACTGTCACATAGATAATTGACCGCAGCCTTGTAGATCAAGTGCCAACCGTCACACACCAACGTTCAGTACATGATAGAGATTACTTTATTTAGTTCGGTGAAAATTTAATTAAGATATGGTTGATGGGGACAAATATTCCACACTATACAGTCACCTGAAAGGGATTTCTTACCCTTATGGATTTGACAAGTTTCAATGGGAAAAATCTAGAAAATATATTAATGTTTAGTGGAGTGACGAAGCCTCAAACAAATTGACCTAAATAGCGATCACACACTAAGTTGTTCTTAGCCTTTCTTAAACACTTTTGGATCTGATTATTATATAAATATCTTTCAGAAAGTCAACCTTATATTCATTTCCATTATGAAATAACCATTAACCACCAAAGTAAGCAATACATAGGAAATACATATGTACACTAAAGTCTGAACATGATTTACTCCGTTGATGTTTATTTAACAATTCAAAGTGTTAACTGCATATTTTTGTTTAGTAGAATCAACCCATGTAAATTGCATAAACAATATTGCAAATTTTGTTATAACCTAGCTGCAACATTGAACTTATTGACCTCAGTTTATTTTAAGCAAAAGTAGTCCAGTTTCTAAGTGATGTCAAGATCATGACTAAACATATATATTCACGAACCTGAGATGACGAAAGCGACCATTTTAGATAGAAACATATATACATATGCAACTTATTTGGCCGCCACCCAAATAACGCGATTTTACAACCAGAGGAGCAATTAGAAATATGTCTTTACAGCTTAAACTTCATAACCTCCGAGCTGTAATCAATCTTCACAAACCCTAATCTCTTCATCCCTAACTGGTTTGCACTTTCTTCACTCTTCACTACTTCACTCTTCAACTAACTTAACTCCCCCATAAAATGGCTTCGATCCCTTCCTCTCATTCATCAAACACATCACCCATCACTCTTCAAAACCCTAACACTCATTATCAATATGTCAGGAACCTCCAAAGAAAATGGTGGTCGCCACCCTTTGTACAGGGGAGTGAGACAACGTAAGAACTCAAACAAATGGGTGTCCGAGATCCGTGAGCCGAGAAAACCTAACCGGATCTGGTTAGGAACATTCTCCACCCCGGAGATGGCGGCAATAGCCTATGACGTAGCAGCTCTAGCTCTCAAAGGAACACAAACCCAACTCAACTTTCCAAACTCAGCATCATCTCTCCCTGTCCCAGCCTCCATGTCTCCAGGAGACATCCAAGCCGCAGCTGCTTCAGCCGCAGCTGCTTTTGGTGCTGCTAGGGATGCGATTGTAGTGACCAATAATAGCACCGCTTCAAGCAGCGTGGAGCGGAGTAATGTGATGATGAATGGTAGTTATGAGAATGCAAATGGATACATGGACGAGGATTTGATATTCGACATGCCTAATGTCCTCATGAATATGGCTGAAGGAATGCTTCTCAGCCCGCCTCGTCAATCAACCTTTGATGCTGCTTCTGACGCTGATGGTTACACCGGAGGAGATGATTACTTATGGAATTTTCCTTGATAACTAAACAAACTAATGTGATTTTGTGTGTTTTATTATTATATACTATATATATATACATATATATATATATATGTATAAGATATGTATGTGTGAAATAAAGAAACGGTGTCTAGTGATGCATTGCATTTGCATCATTGCATGCATGGTTAGGCCCCGTTAAGACCGTTTGATAAGGTCGTACTGTATTGAAGTTTTTTTTTTCTTTAAACTATTGTCGTATAATCTAGTCTGATGTACTTGCAAATGTAATCACAGTCAATGACTTGACTGATACTCATTTGTTTAATTTTACAGATGGACAAAGTTTTCATAGGGGTAACTAGTGTTTAATAATGGTTGATGTAACTAGTGTTTGTTTGAGAATATATCATTATATATAGCCCCTTGACTCTAAAGCTGAAGCATGAAACCAATATGAACCGTGAACCACACGATTTCTAGATTTTTATGAACTATTTTTAGTAACACCACTTTAATTGTTTTTTTATGAACAAAAAACACATAACGGCAATAGGATGACTAGAGTTGGGATTTTGGGTATTCAAAGTCGGATCTCTTTGGTTCTTGGTAAAACGGATATAGAGAAATTATACCTATATAGGATCCGGTAATCTTTTTGTTCAGATCCGGACCGGTTTGGGTATGCAATTGAAAACCCGGATTATTAAATTTTTATTTTTCTTTATTTTCCTTCATTTAAATGAACTATAATCTTATGTATGTTTATAATATGAAAGTAACTACAACAAGTTGAAATAGTCCAATGGTAATGCATGTGTTACTTAGCATTTCCAAACCTGGTTTGACTCCCCGGAGAAACAATTCTGTGTAAAAAATTCCAGCCTTAAAGGATGACTCTCCTTTTGTTGACTGCAAAAACTCCACTCTCTTTTCCCTGCTATGAATCTTGACTCTTGAGTCATCAAGCCTTTCTGATTAAGTCAAATATATATCTCATATATGAGGTAACTAAATATCGATGTAGTTTGAATTTCAGCTTCCAAATGTTTACGAAAAAAATATTAATATTTTGCTACTTAAGTGAGATATTCTTGATAAATAACTTAAACACAAATTTGAACATGTTATTGTGTAGCAACCGGGTAAGGAAAATATATCTGTAACATTTCTTTTTTGGTTTAACTACCTGAGATAGCTAGTTGAAAGACCAAAAAGGTGTTAAATGGGTTGGTGAGGATAACAACACACAAGCTGATTATTAGTCTTAATCAAATCATAAACTTGCTGATTTTTATGTGCTTTACATTTGTATTATATTACTTGCATTATATAAAAGTCTTTTTGAGATATGTTTATTTTTGTTTTAATGGTTATATGGTTTATTTACCATTGGTTTTTATGTTTGCAACTAAATCGACGCAACATTTTTGATTGTTGGAATGCAAACGGAAACCTTATGTTGAGTCACAAATTACACAAGTAATTGATATTATTTTAAAATATTACAAAACATATCTATCTGCATATTTGAAGAACCGAACTCTTAAAGTCTTAAAAAAAAGTGTTTCAAAAAAAAATGTCTTTTATTTTCGACCACTAGAGAAGCTTGTCAACTACACAATCCATCCGAATTTGTGGATGAAAGTGTTCAAAACAACATACGCTATGTATCCAGACAAATAGCTTATATAACTTGACACAATTAGAACACTTTGACTTGTGTGGAAGAAATTGATGATATGATGTTTTTTTTTGGAGAAAATTAACTTGAAAATCCTTCTGGCTTGTTCTCTACCGCAAACACTTGACAATTCTTTTATCCTTATCCTTTTCAGGCTCGTAGGTGGAAATCAGTTTGGTACAGCAAAATGATTCCAAATAAGCATTCCTAGTTCCTACATTGGTTCGGATTCTTTTTTCTTACACATTTTATTATCTCCTCCCTAGGATTTTTAGAATACTGTGGATTGAGTTATCTAGTTTAGCCCTTTCATAAATCTATGAAATATCCAACGTTAATCAAAAAAAAAAAAAAAACCCACTCCATGTAAAAAACAATTGAATGCAAGCTAGCCTTCCTAGTAGTGATTTTTTACTTATGAAAAGCAAGTGATGACAAGGATTGCCTAGGGACAAGCCTAGGAATGTACGTACGAAAATGTTCTCCAGGATTTGAATAAATTAACATTTGCACTCTTTGTACAAAATGCAGATGTTATACTCTTTGAAAACTCTTGGTAGCAAATTGTACTCTTTGTACATAATGTTTTTTTTTCATTTGATTATATCAACATTTTTTCACAAAAAAAAAAATCAAGACTAAACATACTTGAACTACATGGGCTTTTTGAAACTATAACAACCAATGTAGCCTACAAGTTTCGTGATATATAGAGGCTTGAAGATAGAAAGAAACAACTTTATGCATTTAAGAGCTCGACAAGAAAAAATAGTTAATGGCAATTGACATTTGAAATGTAAAGGTCGTGCTGTTTGGAAATGAATGAATGAATTCAATTTTGGTACTTCTTTTATTTCTTGTCTTCATCAGCTTCTCCTCCCACCAAGATGTTCACGGTACGTACTTTGAACCTCTCCAGCTTCTCAATGACGTCCTCGACTAGACTGCCCCCACGAGAGCGCGTCGTGTTAATATTAACGCGTCTGTCAAGCTTAGAATGCTTATGATCTTGAATCATCCCTTGATTCTCTTTACGATGAAATAGCTTATTTATGTTGTCTAGTTTTCTAGATTTAGAAACCAATATTTTATCACTCATTTAATCGAGAATGTTTCACTATATAACGATCTTGAAAGCAATAGAAGGGAAATAGAAAAATAATATGTGTTTGATTTGTAATCGATGTGTAAATGTATGTTAGATTTGTGTGTTTATGTGGCTATATATATATGTGTGTGTAGGAGCTTAGGGCTTAAGACAGGCTGTAAAGTAGAATAAGAATATAAACGACGACCGAGTTGAGTCTTCTTCGAAATACTTGGCCAAAAAGAAATATCAAACAAAGATACTACAGACGTCGAAAATGTATAAGTCCTTCAGCCCGTACTCGTATTGTAAATTGATTTTTCCCTCTTGGCCTCTTCACACGTTCTTGTTTTCTTAACATCATTTAAAATGTTTATATAAATATTTAAATAACATCCTTCACTTGTCTTTCATACATCCAGTGCCGTGAGAAACTTCTAGAAATTTTATTAGCTAATTTAAAGTATATTTATTTTACAACTTTATAGCATAGCCTTAATCAGAATATATTAAAAGTTACAGATAAATTTTTATTTTACACTTGTACTTTTTATTTAACAAAAACGAATGTCTTATAAATTTTTAAAAATAAATCTCCATTTATAGCAAAGAAAATGAATTTAATTATAAGCATAAACATATTCAACATATCTTAGAAAGAATTATTAAAATTAGGTTGGTACTCATCACTTAAAAACCTATATTAAAATAAAAATATTTGGTTCATAGGTTATATATCACCAAAAGTCTATGGGTCTCTTACTATTCACTTTGATTATGAAGTCTAAGCTATCATGTGGAATCAGTTGATCCACGAAGCAGAGAGGATCGTAGACATTTTCTTTTGAATTGACCATTTCCTACCGACATGCTACCAAAGATCTCAAATTGTTCAATTTTTTTTTTTTAGAGAAATATTGTTCAAAAATTAAACCATTCTATTCCACTAATCTAGAATCGTTGTCATTTATAGCAATCTCGTATATATTTGTGTAAGAAAATAATAAACTAATTCGATGTTCAAGTAAAATATTATACTGCATAACTCTTAACACTATTGATGCATGTTTGGACAGAACGAAACTCCAACAAATTAACAAACTATCATACTTGATAATACACTAATTTCACCAATATAACACTACCAACATTTTCATATAGTTTTACCAAAAAGAAAAAAAAAATCATGTAGTGTATTATAGACCACTCAACCATATACCCAAACAGATTAGTTGATTTGTAATCTTGGATAAACAGTGAAGAGCGTCTGAATAATAGACAAAATCAAAAGAATAAGAGCAGCAAGAGCAGAAATAAAAGACCAAGGAGAACTAAAATAAGTGTGTTTGAAACTAGCCCATGTAACGTGCCAACTACTATTGTAGTACTCATTCACTTCTATAAACAACTCTTTGAGATAACAGCTTTCTATGTCGAACGCAACGTCTCTGCCTAGACTGTTCACGAATCCAGCGACGGCTGATTCTGTGCCGAAGTAGTTCTCTATGATTTTTTGTTCACATAGATACTCAACGTCTTTGTTAGTGTTCATCAGACAGTCTAGTAGTGTCGCGTATGTAGTGAAATGCTTTGAACACCCCACGTGGCACTGCTCGTACGCCACGCAGTTGGGAAAGAAACTGCCCATGAGATCGTCCACTGTGATGCTCGGCATCTCTATCGCTCCATGTCTGAACCTCACAACGAGGAAGCTCTTTACGTCTTTGAGCTCCCGAATCTTGATCCCGGCTTGCCGGAGCTTTGAGATGCTGTGGATGATGTTGGACGGTATCTTCTTCTTCCTTTGATTAGGTACCTGCTGTTGTGAATAAATGCGAATCAAAAACAAAACAAAAACACTATCTATATTATGATTTGAGAAGTGAATTTGTTTAGTTGTCAATTTTTCGATAATTTTAGATATTTTTATTTATTTTTCATGTTTTAATAAATTCATATATAATTTATTATAGTATATAATGAATTTATATTAATTTTCTTATATTTAAAAAAAAATAAAATATTTCTTATGTATTATATTGTTATCTTGTAAAAATATTTTTCTATTATATAAACAAAAAAAAGTAAGTAAGAAAAAAAATAATTAAATATAATCAAGCAAAACATTTGTATAAATCTATTTTTTAAAATATTCTGCTACGTGAATACTGTCATTCATCATTAATTTGAAAAACATAAATCATAACTCATCATATTGTTTAATAAATAATCATAAGAAAATTATGCTCGTACATGCAGTAAGGCAAACACCCGTTTAAAAATTCGTATATTCGTTATCTGAATAAATTATTCATATAGTTTCAAAAGTCGATATTTATTTTCCTTTAAAAAAAACTTCATTTCCTAATAATAAAAAATATATCATATGCAATGAATGTGATTTTTTACTGATGCACTCAAATTTAAGTTAATTTTAGAATGAATATTACCGAATGAGCGTAAAGCTCAGTGTCCGGGATGAAGCTTGACCGGACAAGGTCAAGGATGTGTTTGGCTTTTAGGTCATCGGACCTGGAGAGATCTTGGTTTGGTCTATATATAGTGTTGTTGAAGAACGCAAACGCTAGAGACTGTAAAGAAACGTTGCTCTCTCTTTCGTTATCTCCTCTTGTGAGGTCAAACAAAGCTTCAAGAACGAAGAAAGGGATTTGATTCTCAAGACGGAGAAAATCTCTGCAGAAGAAAGGAAGAACCCAAGCCATGGTCACGAGTGGATCATCCAGTTGAAAAGGAACAACGTGGCTGACTTTACGAAACAGCTCGAGAATGAAACAACCGTCAAGAACCATCATTTCGTTGAACTCATCAGAGTCCATGTGGATTGACTCGGAGTAACACTCTCTCGCAACTTCCTCAACACTCTTCACGGCTTTCATGTAATCCTCTAGAGTTAAAGATTTTGTTTGGTGGGTTCGTGTGACAAGAGCATTTAGGTAACGCCATTTGTGTTCTTCCATCATTTTGAGCTGCGTACGGCCTCGGTGGTATGGTCCCACCGAGACCACTCGCGGCTCATAGAATCTACCGTTGGACTCAATCATGCTTTGAGGTACTCGGAAGATGGAGCAAGTTGATTTTCCGGCGGTCGAGCTTAGCAACCGTGGTGGCTGATTCAGCTTCTTGTGCATCCTTTCAATACGGATCTTGAGGAGGGTTTCTCCTCCGTCGTGTACGGAGCCATTAAGTGGTTGCTCCACCGTGTCTACCATTTTTTATTGGTGTGGGATTGATGGAGGAGGTAATTTTGGAACTATAAGAGTCTTTGTGATTGATATTTTTTGTCTCTTGCTGGTCCACCTGATCCTCACAGCTCACGTTATGGAGTCTAGTCCATAAAGATTTCAACTATTCAAATTTTTGATTTGTATTTTCCAATGAAGGTTTAATTAGCAGTCATGTCACATGACTTGGTCCATCTATATGATCTTTCGCCGCTCCGAAGTTTCTTTGAAGAACTTTTAGTTATTCTCTATTTTACTTTCAGTTATGTACACGCTCGAGAAAATGAAATTAATATACTATAAAGTATCGGCTGGTATCACATGAGTGTCAATACTAGTTTGCCACATTATATCAAAAAAAACTTTGGAATAGTTAGATGGTAATTTTGGTATAGAAAAAAAATATAAATTTCATATATCATATTAAATCTTATTCGTTGGTGAGTAACACGCAACTTGGACGTGAATATATTTATTTATCCTTCCATGTGAGGCCTTTTAATTAGGCATGAAAGTTGGATAAATATGATCCGGTTGGTTTGGAACATTGAGTTTTTCTCAACAACTCACACAGACCAAACGAACAAATGTGGTGTCAACATTAGTAAAATCATTAGATTACAAATTAATATTCAGTAACATATCGGTGTTATAAAACTTTCATGCAATGTTATCACTTATTAGCCCTAGCTAAAACCATTCGTGGAGGATTAATGTAATCCTCATTTTTTAATTGAAATCTTTTCTTCTTATAGTTGATGTTCTTCTCGCGCGCAAAAAACCGATGGTTTCGTGGATGATATGTTTGTTGAAAGATAGCCCACCAAATGATATCGATTCCTTCTCGACAATATTGTCTCGTTAAAGAGAGAAACTTAAATATATAGTTCATGAAACTTTACTATTAACTTTTTCCAAAAACACTTTACTATTTACAAACCATTAAATACATCACAAAAATGCACGATTGGAGTGTGGTAGTAATCGGTCCCCAAGTAATTCGTTACACACATCCATCTACACAAGAGCAGAGCTCGTCCTACAATATCTAAGGCTGGAATCCCAAAACCAAAAGGTAGTTTCAAAAAATCTATTGTAACCCATGTTTATTGGAGATTTTTAAGGTGGAGTTTTTAGTTTCAATTAAGATACTAAAAAAAAACTAAAAACCACCTCTATAAAAAGTATAAGAGCCAGTTCTTAATCAAAATTTATTAAAAAACAAAAAAATGTCAAATCATTAATTAAAAATCTCATCCTAAAAGTCTTAAAAGTCATCGATAAACATGTCCTAAGGGTTATGATGACCACTAGACTAAGAAATTGAAAACAAAATTGCGCCCGGATTTTATATTTTTATCCAATGACGGCCGAAAACTCATCGGGTCTGAGTCAGGACCGGCTCTGCATAAAAAAAAGAGAGAAAAAAACATATCAAAAAGACTAAAAATAATCATAAACAAACGGAACTAAGCAAGAAGCATGATGATGCAGACACTAGAAAAACTATTAACTAGTAAATGCTAAACAGTTTATGTTTGCCAAGAATGTACATACTCAATTACTAACAAAAAATGTTTTGTCTACCCAAGAAAAACAAGTTTTCCCAAAGAGAACATTCCATGAAGATCTGTACAAGAAAAGACCTGGTTGAGTAAGAAAAATTAACGTTCTGAAATTTTAAAAGTGAGGAGAAATGAAGAAAATTTAGGATAAACAATTTGAAAATATGGAGGTTAATTCGGTTTATCAAGTCAAAGATGTCTAGAAATATACTAATGTTCCTGCCTCTAATAAATTACATTATTTGTTCCTGAATGAGAAGAGACAAGTTCGATGGAAAATTCATCAATCAAGAACAAGAAGATAGAGAGCTCTAGATCAGCGACTGCCTCCTCCACTTCTCCACCGTGTCTTGTCCATTCTCCGGTCTCCCTTCTCATATCCTTTTGCACCACCGCGTCCACGTATTCATCCGCACCCATCCCTATCCTCCATGCATTCATCATCATCCACTTCTTATGCCTCTCCTCTTGCATGCATCCGCTCTCTCTAGCCATAGCTTCTTCACCCACGTTCTCATATTCTTCATCCCAATCATAAACCCTTGTGTTATCGTCTTCCTCGCTCTCCTCCTCACAATCTTCTTGTTCTTCTGACATCTTCCCCTCAAGGTCTACTGGATCCATTCCTGCTAACTTCTCGAATCTGCGAAGCTTCTTGAGTAGCCGCCTTTTGGCCCCTGTTCAGTCCAAAACACAAATTCATTTTTTCAAAACCCTTTAGTTTGGCCCATGTGATGTGATGGTAGATTGGTTACTCACGTTGTACAACTTCAAAGCTGGACGAGAGGAGATTGAGATGGCCAGGCTCTCGTTGGTGGTGGTCCTCCTCTTCCTCAAGAGGGTCAAGTACAGAAACAGGACTACATTGTTCCTCTTCCTCTTCTTGTCCTCTCACTTTCTCCAAGCTCTCTGTCTCATCGCTATCTTCGTCCTGTTACAACTCATTTAATACACTTTTGTAATCACCGTTTCTGTCTCTTACTATTTTTGGATTTGGATCACAACTAATTTTAGCTATTCCAATTTATATCCATGAAGGTTGTATTTTAACCTATTCAGCTACATTCATTATTCTTCAATTATGTTTTACATTTTACTGTTTCTTTATACTACAACCACAAGTACTAGTAGGGTAAGTTTTACATTTGAATTTTGTGAACATACAATTTAATACTTCCCTAAAAGGATTGCAACTTTTTGACAAAACCTTGATAGTTGTTGATGCTGACTTCTATTAGCTATTCAAAAATTATATCCATAAAGGTTGTATTTAAGCTATCTATTCAATTAAATTTTTGTACCTTTTACTATAATTTTATTTATACTATAATCACAAGTAGGGTAAGTTTTACATTTGAATTTCGTGAACATACAATTTAATACTTGACTAAAAAAGATTGCAACCTTTCAACAAAACCTCTTGATAGTTGTTGATGCTGACTTCTTAAGACAGCCTAACACAAATGGTTTGGTTTATATTTAAGTCTAAACGACTAAACCTACTGAATTAAAAGGTAAAAAAATGTGTTTTAGGTAACTTGCCAGAGACTTAATTGGTTTGGAGAATTTGAAGTTGAACTATCTAGTGAGAAGATGCAATTAGTGTGGAAAGGTAAATGACATAAGCACCCCAGCCAAACAAAGGTTCCTTGACGAGTGATCATTCGATGATAGGGGCGTATCTGTCACTCTATTGTAAAACATATTTACCGCACTTCTGAAAAACTTACATGATTCAGTCATATCAACCAGTCATGTGTCTCTGCTTTAATCAGAAGATGTTTTTCAGTTTTCCATAGAATGTTTTTTACATTTTGTTTTACCGTATGGTAATTTATGCTTGGTATAGGTTAATTGGCCAGTGGATTAATTTAGAAAGAATTGGAAAAAGATCTTTAAAATCAAAATAAAATAAAAAGTTCCTAAATATTACAAAACTAAGGAACTATTACATTTGCTAATGCTAAGGTTTAGTTTGGATTTATAATTTAGCTTTTAGAGTATAATTTGGAGTATGGTTTTAATTTAAGATTATTTTGCTAATATGATATTAGAATTAGACCAATATCATAATTGTTTTATTAATTAATTTAAAGGCTTTAACATAAAACCAATTAATTGAGAGATTAAGACAAACCTCAGTACTTCGACGCGTCGGAGAAGTAGCCGTCGACGTGAAGTGTGGAGTCCGGTGACCGGAAGTAGAAGGAGTTGTATGAAGGACGAAATGAAAAGGGCTCTCGCAAAAACACTTGTCGCCAATCTCAACAAAACGCTCTTGCCTCCTGCTGCTACTACTACTACATGTCGGTTCCGACAAAACCGCGTTTCCATCAGCGTTGTCCAAACGCGGTTTCGCTTTACGGTTAGCCAACCGCTTTAAAACAGAGCCAAATATACCAAACGCGTTTCCTCTGTTCCGAAATATGTTCTTGCTCTTATTAGCCTTCTCCCTCTGCTGCTTCTGAATCCTCGCCGCTGCTTCCAGTAGAACTGCGGCAGTTCTTGCCGGAATCTGAAGACCGTCGCGAACCTTCTTCTTCGCTGGAGACCGTAGGTCAAAGAGAGGAGACTTATTAGTATGTGTGGCGAGGAAACAAGAACTCTCCCATGAGAAGAAACGAGGTAGAACGGCCGCGTTTTCGGACTTAGGTTTCTTGACACGCAAATCAGAGAAGCCCATTTGAGACCTAAGGTTGGAGATGTAATGGTTGAGATGAAAAGGTTCTTGGTCATCTTCAAGAAGCTCATGTAAGTGTTTCTTCTTATTCTCAGTAGCCATGGAGACAATATTACTTTAAACTTTCTTTTTCTATGTTCGTGTGGAATTCAGAATCATGGAAATAGTAAAATGAGTTAAGCTTTTTTGCTCTTTCTTTATAAGAAAAGAGAGAGATTTGGTGTAGAGAGTGAAAGATGAGGGACAGTTATAGACAAAGGGTAAGACATTGGATAAAGAGTCAATGCTTGGATTTGGCTATTTCCTAGCTTCTTGAAAAGTAAAAGTAAAAATACAGTTTAAGTCTTTATATTCTATCGTCTAATTTCGGCTTTTTCATACCTCAATAATAAGAAGATAAGATCATACACCTAGTTCAAATAGTGTGTTTTAATAAATATTTAAATTCAGTATATTATTTAATTATACCCACATAATTTTATTTTATTTTTATATCTGATTCTAATATTTTTTTAATATACTATGTAATATCACTGAATATTGTTGACAGAAAATATATAATATCACTGAATAAACGTTTAGACTAAAACAATGTAATCTATAACATGATATCTAGATTACCATAAATAAATGGTATATGTACCACAGCTAGAATCAAGTATGAGAAAGGTAAAATTTGTATTTATTTAGGTATATGAATTGAATAATATATCATAATGAATGTATATACTTATTAGCGCAACATTTAAATTGGCGTATGATCTAACTTTTCTGGAAGAAATTATAAACGACACTAGATTTTGAACCCGCACATCCGTGCGGGTATTTTTTCATTTTATAAAAATATAACAAAACTTTTCAAATATATATGATTTATATTCTATTGTTATATATTGTATAATTGTATAATTTTAATAATTTTATATAATATCTTGTTGTAAGTTTTAAAATAAAAAAAAATATTTATATATAATTTATTATATAATGTATTTGTTGTGAGTTACAAAAATATATGTTAACATTTTTTGTAAAAAAAGTGTTCTATGATTTAAAAACTTTAATATGTTTTAAAAGAGAGTGATATTTATTTATTTATTTGAAGAAAAGAAATTTTTTTAAACAAAATATTTTCCTTTTACAAATTTAATATATTTTATATTCATTTCACATAGCATTTTATTTTAATATAATATAGAATATAACTAAATTATAAAATATAAG